ATAAATAAATAAACATGTTTCACAAGATACATTATTTACCTCCCTTTAAAAGTGATGATGGATTATTTACCTCCCTTAGTTATAAATAAATAAACATTTCTCACAATATACATTATATACCTCCCTTGGCACTATCATGCTGTTCATAATTTGCTAGTACCGAGAGGACAATTTATAATGAAAGGGAGATAAATCTAATAAGGCCTTTGATTTTAATTTTTGTCAATTGGCAAAAAAAAAACAAAAACAAAAAACACACAAAAACGGGAGAGAGAAAATTATTGAAATTCATCAATAAGAAATATAGAACATCAGTTAAGACATTTTTCTGTTGATAAGACTCACTGATAGCACAATTAATTATATGAAATATATTAGTTGTGTGGGGAAAAATTTAATTGGATTTTTTATGTTATATGATAATTATCAATGCATTGTCTGATGGGTAGATATGGCATGCCTGCAGTGTGTTCACACATCAATGCTAGTCATAAAACTTTCAACTGAGACCTATTTATCATATTGTTTTTTGTTGCATTGTGGGTATGTATTGTTTACACTGGGATTACCATCTTTGGGAAGAAAAAATTAGGTAGTAATTTTTGTGTGTGGCATTTCATAATAAAGTACAATTAAAAGTGTTATAATTAAAGATTACATATTGAATTATGGATAAAAAAAAACTACCAGAGAATGCTATATAAATCAATGTTACACAAGAACGAATGACTTTACAGTAAAAATATTATTGAACGTTCCTGATCTCAAACAGCTGCCCTGAGAATGAAACACTCCATGGTGAAACACTGGCAGAAAACGCATCAATTATTAAAATTCAATCAAAGGAAACCTTCCTTGATATTTTCCTACATGCTAACTTCTTGTCATCCTGACAACCAGCTCTCATTTACTGGTTCCACACCATTGTCAGTTATTTACTGGTTCCCAGCTAGGCACATTGTCAGTTATATAACTTGTTCCCAGCTAGAAATATTGTCATGAAATTATTGGTTCCCAACTAGAAATATTGTGATAGAACTACTGGTTCCCAGTACTGGTTTCAAACTAGACATATTGTCTGGAATTTACTGGTTCCCACTTAGAAACATTGTCAGAAAATTACTGGTTTCCAATTAATATTGTCAGGAATTTACTGGTTCCCACTTAGAATCATTGTCAGGAATTTACTGGTTCCCACTTGGAAACATTGTCAGAAAATTACTGGTTTCCAGCTAGAAATATTGCCAGTAATTTACTGGTTTCCAGCTAAAAAAATGAAAAATACAGTTTTTTCCCTTTCTGATAATTGTTGTCAATTTTTACTGTGGTAGCCCCTGTTAATAAAGTTGCAGAGCCTTTTATGAAGCTACTGTCAAGAAATATTGTTACACAACTAAAGGATACTTTTCTTATCAACAGTGTTAAAACAATACTAAATCTTCTTGAAAAGACTTTGTAATAAACCCAGACTTTGTAATAAACCACTAGTTTGGAATAAACAAGGAGTTTGTAATAAACAAGGAGTTTGTAATAAACCACTAGATTGTAATAAACCAGGAGTTTGTATCATGTTATAAACGAGAAGTAGTATTGGCCACAGTTTTGTCCAGTATTTCTGTTGGTCTATAATTGAATATTGAACACAATGCATTGACCAATATCAACTTTATTCACCAGGGAGATCTTTTACATGCCTTTACAGGAGAAGTTATTGTTCTTGTATGTAAGGGATATGAAATTTGTCTTTATTATAAGATAATTATTTTAGCTCATTGCATTATTAGATTTCCATCAAATGAAGAAAACTTGCTTAATTTAGTGTGAACTTTGCCTTAATATGAACAATTTCTATGAACAGTTTTATGGATTTCTAATAATAACTGGCCATTTTGGATATTTCATTTTGTCTGATGATTGTTGGTTGTTTCTATGGTCAAACAAGAATGTTGAGCTGTTAGTTTCCATGGTCAAAACAGAAAGTTTTACTGTTAGTTTGCATTGTCAAAATATCAAAATATGAAGTTTTACTGTTGGTGTCCATGGTCAAACAAGAAAATTTTACTGTTGATTTCCATGGTCAAAAAAAGAAAGTTTAACTGTTAGTTTCCATGGTTTAAAAAAGAAAGTTTTACTATTAGTTTGCATGGTCAAAAAAGAAAGTTTTACTGATAGTTTCCATGGTAAAAAATGTAGTTTTACTGTTGGTGTCCATAGTCAAAAAAGAAAGTTTAACTGTTGGGTTCCATGGTCAAACAAGAAAATAGTTGTTGTCAGATATTAAAGTTTGGCATTTTATGTTCGTGGGAGTTGGGATATGGGGGTATTTGTGAGTGACCTTAGTTAAATGGGGGGGGGGGGGTATATTTTTTTGTTGAATTGAAGAAAAAAACAACATAAGATGTAGTAAATGACAGAAACTCCTTAAAGATGTGTGATTAAGCATTGTTAAAAATCATTATTTTAAAGAGAGATAACTTTTAGACTATAAGAGTATGAAGAATTTCAGTGAAGATGTCAGATAAAAATTATAATGTTGATTATAAATGTCAGTGGACAATCCATGACACGTAAAGATGGTGTAATAAATGTCTGATATATAGGTGACTCACTTTCTACTTTGTGACACTCTCGCATTGTCCTAATTGCATCGTAAGCTACTGTCGACTTTACTGCATAATGTTGATGTTTTATCTGCCGCGCCATTTCACGATGTTCTATAAATATTTCACGATGTTCTATAAATATTTCACCATGTTCTATAAATATTTCACGATGTTCTATGAATATTTCCCGATGTTCTATAAATATTTCCCGATGTTCTATAAATATTTCACGATGTTCTATAAATTTTTCACGATGTTCTATAAATATTTCACGATGTTCTATAAATATTTCCGGCAGTAAAACAGAACGAGGATGACATATTTTCTGACGAGTGACATATTTTTGAGAGTGGTGTTATAAATGTTCTTAAATAATAAAAATAAGTCTGGAATGGGAATTGTTTGGAACAAATTTCTAAGAATGAAAAAATATCAACAAAAAAATGGGGCTCTGGAATGCATGTCAATCAAATTTAATGAAATTACTGTTAACTAAAGTATCCCTTACATTCAATTAATTCTAAATTCATCAATTAAATACAATTAAAATCTTAATTGAGATTTAATTGAGGCATAAATGAGTTTCATTTGACATATAATTATGACATGAATCAGGTTAATGAAATCAAATGTTAGAAATATGTATTGATATTATTCTACATTTATATAAATCAGTGCAGTGAAGGTAACTTAAGAGTTACTGTGAAAAACTTTAGGGACTCACTGCTAGCAATGTTATATTATGAATCTTGTGGTATGAGAGTTTACTGTTGAAGAACTTAAATATATCATTATATCATTATATTTTCTTAAATGAAATAAGTTGTGGGTGCTATTGTTGTGTTTCAAAACCTGAGTTTTTATTTGGGAGGTGATCGGGGGGGGGGACTAACATGGACAATTGTACAGAACAAGATGACCTTCCGTAAAATAGCTGAATAGATTCTCCACATTTAAGACTCCAAAATTCTGAAGGAATTCCAATTAAAGCCTGGAAGTTGATGAAATGTTGTATTTTATATTTATATGTATAACTTGGGGAAATATTTTAATTGATTTTGGTTTTTATTTATAGTATATGTATATAAACTGATAAAGGAAAAGGATAGAAACAATAAGCCATATTAAATAACACTCTCAATTTTAAATGCATGTCTATAATTCTATATTCAATAACACACTGCTTGAAATTGTAGAAATTATCTCGGAATTGTTATATACCAATAAATACAATATAGGATGATGATGAAATAGAGAATATTGGTCTAGTATCCCTGGTATCCCGACGACAACGATGATAAAAAACAATTTCCCCGATCATAATCTCCAGTAAATTAGACTCTACGTTTAAATAATATCAATGATGGGTAATTCCTAGCCGTGTATCATTATTAGTAATTTCCGTTCGTATGCACGATCTCACGAGATTTCCCGTCATAGATGACAACCCTCGAATCAATTTCCCGTATTCTTTCCTTATTCTAATCAAGTTCTAATTAACTGCTTACTGTACGACTTGGATACTGCGACCACTTGTGTGCCGACTGATTGAGACATCAGAATACTTTAAAACTTAGATACACCGGCCACTTGTGTGTCCACTAATTGAGATATCAGAATACTGTAAAACTTAGATAGAGCGACCACTTGTGTGTTGACTGATTTAGGTATCAGAATACTGTACGACTTGGATACACGACCACTTGTGTGTCAACTAATTAAGATATCAGAATACTGTACGACTTTGATACAGCGGCCATTTGTGTGCCAACTAATAGAGATATCAGAATATGTTCCTGTGTTTCCATTAAATATAAGCGGCCGTTATTTTGTGTTAAATCACTTAGACACAAAACTTAAATGTTGTTTTAGATATAATTATAACATTCACTATAAGAAGTCATTCAGTTCGCGTAGAGTCTCCTGTTATAACATGAAGAGAGTGTTTAACAGCTTGGTAATTTATTATCTCATTTTGTCACATGAGATGTCGACACTGTGAATTAATTCTAAAATAAGTGGGGTACAGTCTCCACACAGCTTTCTGTAATTGAAAAAAAGTCTCCTTTAAAATATTTTCATTAGTTTTGGGGGAAATCGTTAGAGCTGTGTAAGAATTAGAAAGTTTCTAGAAGATTTTAGTCTGTATATAGGGTGTGATATGTGTGTTTATTGTAAAAATAAACATATACATACATGTAATATGATATACACAGTTAATTTTTACCATGCTGGAACCTAAATTGATTAACCTTTGTCACCAGTATAGAGCCAGGCCAGCGTGCAAAACTCACTGGTTTATGTGATTAAGTGTAATAATTTATTAAGATTTGTGATACAGTTCTTTGTAATGACAATTTTGGAACACATGTTAATTGTTATATATTAATTTTTCAGGTTCGAACATTGTTCGTGAGTGGACTGCCCATGGATGCCAAACCCAGGGAACTTTATTTACTGTTCAGATCTTATAAGGTAAGGACAGATAACTTTGTCAAATGTTTGTGTGTATTTGAATTATTACAATGATTAATGAATGCATTTACAATAAATTTTTAGTTTTCTTCAAAATTGAATAAGTTAGGTAACTCTGTTAATACTTTTCTAACAGTCATGATAATAATGTAAAGTTAGACAACTCTGTTAATAAATACTGTAGTGATAAAAGTTAAATTATTTCAAGTTTTGCCCCCAAAAAAAAAAAATGTTACACAAGAGTTTTTCCCCTTGCTGGACAGTTCTGATCCAAGCCAATATTCCTTCAAGGTCATTGAATATTGGTAATTGGTTATTGATTATTGATTTATTATTTAATACCATTATCCTGTTTCTTGACAGATGTTATGTTCCCATCTTATAAAACTACTATGTTGATATTCTCATCAGTTCTTGGGGTAACAAAACAAAACTTGAACAGTTTAGAAGGCGGTGTTAAATCTTTTTTTTAATGACCTTATAGACTATTAGAAAATTTGAAATATATAACCAGTGTTATATTGTAGTGTATGGTTATATAACACAATTCCTGTCAGATATTTGGAGTGACATAAAACGCCTGTTATACAGCAAATTAATACAATAATATATCCCATATTACAGCCATTGATACTAAACTGCACAAAGTCCGATATTATTGTTACAATAATTTTTTTGCAGACTTTGTTATTGTATTGATAAGAAAAAATTTCAGAGATGTCTTAATATAAAGTGATCTTTGCTGTTTCTACTGAACGAGATATATACAATCTGATTCCATTTTCTTTGCATGTTTTTGTAGGTTTTTTTTTAACGTTTTTTATATCTCTCTCCATAATACATCTTTAACAACTGTTACAATTTGGTTTTATTTGTACTACAGTAAGAAATACATAATAAAATCTTTGCCTCCTTCCTAATAAAAAAAAAAAATAGTTCTTTACTAACTTGGAATTTCTTGCCTCTAAGAATGCATTTTCTTTTTGATCTTATGTTTTTTATTATATCAAAATAAAAGAAAAATTATTGCAATAGAGATAGATTAACATGAAAGTTTTATAGCTTGTAACTTTCAATTAGGAAATATATCTTTTATATTGTAACAATTAAGAAAAGTAGTCTTTTTATAGTAACAATTAAGGAATGCTTTCTATTTTTAGTAACAATTTAGGAAAGCTTTCTATTTATAGTAACAATTTAGGAAAGTTTTCTATTTATAGTAACATTTACTGTGTTATATTGTTCAGGGGTATGAGAATGCCCTATTAAAGATGATGGGCAAAGCTATTGGTAAAAATAATAATGTAAGTAACAAAAAAAAGGGACATCCTTGGAATTCCCAATTTTATGATATATACTTGGGTTTTCCCGTGTCTAAAATTAGAATCAAATTGTTGTTTACTCATCCATATCATCTCATCATTTTATTGGTTGACCAAAAAAAGTAAATCTGATGTCTATTACATTTGATTCTATATTTAGGCATGATCTGAGAGTTGATGTGTCCCATAGTAACGCTGTTTCTATAGTAACATCACAACTTCCTGTTTCATCACTTGTTGCCATGGAAACATCACATAAATTATGAATGATGATGTTTCACTTTATCATTAACATATATGTGTGCTTCGTCCTGAAAATGCTTTCTATATTAATACAAACATTCTCTATTTTAACAACATCTTGTGTATAGATTCTTTACATATATATCTATATCTCTGAAACAAATTTTGGGCTGAAAAAAGTGACCTTGAAATAAATTTAAGTATACTATACTGCATTTTCAGGATTATTATTTTCAAATATTGTGTGTTTATAAAACATAAAAACTGTTGTATGCTGATGTTCTCCATTCTCATGCAGAATGTTATCACTTCCTGTTGTTGTCAATAGCAACAGGCAAAGTTCAAGGTCATTTGATGTAATAATTTCAAGGTTATTGACCTTTGACCTTTTTCTGGGAGTGATAAGTTTCTGTAATGATGACGAGAACAATATGCTGTATTTTATAATAACTGTTTATGTTCATTTTACATTATAAACAATATTAAAAACTGTTTTCCATTTTTAACCAGTCATATTTTTCTATTAACAGTTGTCGTAGTAACCAGGCATGTTCACTTATCACGCTCACTGTTTGTGTTTCTATATTTAGTATCACCTATGACCTTTGACCTTGCAGGGGTACGAAGGTTCACTATTAAAAGTTACAAATAAAAACGGCAAAAACACGTCGGTGAGTATACAGGGCACGATTTGAAAACTTCCTATACTAACAAGATTAGATTCTTATTATTACTGCTTTATAATGATGTGTGGGGTCTTTGTTTCACTTCCAAAAGCAAAAAATATTTACCATAAATAATGCTTGAGTACTCATTTGTTTTTTTTAAAAAAATCCAATCTTTACTGGAAATTTATATATATCAATGCCAAGGGAGACTAATGTGTTACTTGTATTTTGCTTTGTGAAACACAGTTGCCCCCCTTTCATATGAAAGCAGTTTCCATTATATTATTTCTGAACCTGACATTAGCTATTATTAGTTTAGGTACTGTAAAATAGGTTTAAAAGAATTGGTAATTGTAGTTTAAATTTATTTTAGTCATTTTAATTTTTGTAACAAATTGTTTATGGGATTCTTTCTCCATTTTTCAATTCTGATAATTTGGTTATGGCCTGATGCATTATTCTTGATAACAAATTTCTTTATTTCTCCTCTCTATGCATGGAACATATTTTTAATTATCAAAACTCTTCAATATCAAATCTATATGATATATAAAGTTCACACCTCAATATTTTAGTATGGCTGGCACAGTAAATTCCTGTTGGCACCAGCTGAAACCAGCAAATACCTCCAGCATGATGAACCTGTTTTTATCTACCTGTATTTGGGCATTTTGGATACTAAAACCCTGCTATTCTCTATTTTATTTCAAACTCTTTTCCAAAAAAAAAATCTTTAATTTTCTGTTAATCTTTCCATATTTCCAACACAATACTTTTTATTTGGGTTTGGTTTTTTGTTTTATTTTCTTCTTTGCAATCAAATGGTTTTAAGTTTATTTAATATTAGGTGCAAAAATTTATACAAAGCAATTTTTTTTGTGAGAATGGAGATTTTAGGTTTGTAGGATTAATGACTTGAATTAGTTTTTTTTGTTACAGTTACTTAGCAACAGTTAGAATTCTAAATTGTATATTATAGTATGAATATATATTTATAAACATTGTTATAGCTATTTTGTGTTGTCAATTTGCTTTAAATTTTACTTTTATGAATGAAATTTTCTATTTTTCATATAAGAATTTCATAAAATTAATAAAAACTTACCAATGATAATGACAGAAAAACTTGTAAGTTTAAAAGTTTTGATGTAAAAGAATTTCATAAAGTTAAAAAAATCTAGAAAGAATTCTTAATTTCTTTATCGCAGAAATTTCGATTATTGTAAAATTTAATGACATGTTAACTGTTTTAAAAACATATTTGATACTAAGAGCGTATGTACATAATCATACAAACATCACATATACAAATGTCACATAATGACTGGTATTTTGAAGTATTATGGAAGTACTAATGTTATATAAAAATATGTTAAATTGTTATAATATTGCCATTACAGCCAGTTGGGTTTGTGACATTTAGCTCAAGGGTGGCAGCTGAGGCAGCTAAACAAGATTTACAGGTAACCAGTCATTTATCATAGACTTACTGTGTTGCTAGGGGTAACCAGTCATTTATCATAGACTTCTTTATATTGCTAGGGGTAACCAGTCATTTATCATAGACTTCTTTATGTTGCTAGGGGTAACCAGTCATTTATCATAGACTTCTTTATGTTGCTAGGGGTAACCAGTCATTTATCATAGACTTCTTTATATTGCTAGGGGTAACCAGTCATTTTTCATAGACTTCTTTATGTTGCTAGGGGTAACCAGTCATTTATCATAGACTTCTTTGTGGTCATTTATCATAGACTTCTTTGTGTTACTAGGGGCAACCAGTCATTTATCATAGACTTCTTTGTGTTACTAGGGGTAACCAGTCATTTTATCATAGACTTCTTTATGTTGCTAGGGGTAACCAGTCATTTATTATAGACTTTTTTATGTTACTAGGGGTAATAAGTCATTTATCATAGACTTCTTTATGTTGCTAGGGGTAACCAGTCATTTATCATAGACTTCTTTATGTTGCTAGGGGTAACCAGTCATTTATCATAGACTTTTTTATGTTGCTAGGGTAACTAGTCATTTATCTAAGACTTTTTTATGTTACTAGGGTAACCAGTCATTTATCATAGACTTCTTTATGTTGCTAGAGGTAACCAGTCATTTATCATAGACTTCTTTATGTTGCCAGGGGTAACCAGTCATTTATCATAGACTTCTTTATGTTGCTAGGGGTAACTAGTCATTTATCATAGACTTCTTTATGTTGCTAGGGGTAACCAGTCATTTATCATAGAATTCTTTATGTTGCTAGGGGTAACCAGTCATTTATCATAGACTTCTTTATGTTGCTAAGGGAAACCAGTCATTTATCATAGACTTCTTTATGTTGCTAAGGGAAACCAGTCATTTATCATAGACTTCTTTATGTTGCTAAGAATAACCAGTCATTTATATTAGACTTATTGTGTTGCTATGGGTAACCAGTCATTTATCATAGACTTCTTTATGTTGCTAGGGGTAACCAGTCATTTATCTTAGACTTCTTTATGTTGCTAGGGGTAACCAGTCATTTATCATAGACTTCTTTATGTTGCTAGGGGTAACCAGTCATTTATCATAGACTTCTTTATGTTGCTAAGGGCAACCAGTCATTTATCATAGAATTATTATGTTGCTAGGGGTAACCAGTCATTTATCTTAGACTTCTTTAAGTTACTAGGGGCAACCAGTCATTTATCATAGAATTATTATGTTGCTATGGGTAACCAGTCATTTATCATAGACTTCTTTATGTTTCTAGGGGTGAGATAAGAAGAAGTTTATTATATATAAAATGTATTTATTGAATATCAGTGGCAAAGTAACCCTGTTAGATTATGCAGTTACATCACTGGACAGTAAACATACTTACTAACCAGTACTTGTGTAATATGTGATAACCAAAGTAGGGTTGTCATAACAAAAGAAGGGCTTGAACCCACAAACCATGGGTTGAGAAGCAATCACCATGGTGACACTGTTATTGAAGTCACATGCATAATTTGTCTACACTTTATAAACCATAGATTATAGATATCAGAAATATACAATGTTTGAAACCTTTGTTTATGATGTAATGATTATGTATATTTCCTTTTCTTTCTTTTAGAAATTCTATATTATCCTATGAAATTGGGCGTTAAAGTTTACGATTGATTTTATTACAAATTTGGCTTGTTTATGTAAAATATACAGTGTTAAACTTGGGCGTGGGGAAAGTGTAGTGTGCTTTATGTGCTAATTTAAACTGAATATGAATAAGAAATTTATGATACTGTTAATTGTTATATAATGTAACTAGACTTGAGAATATTAACTGATGGAAATTGCATTTGTAAATTGAAGTCAATAATTTTTTAATTTTTTTTACGTTTTCTTAATTGATTTTGATATGACGTGACATGTTACCATGGTAGTGTGAGAAAATCAGTTTTTGTTAAACCATTGCATTTATCACTAGTTAGTAATATAGAGTAAACATAATTAGCCAGCCAGGTATGTGAAGTCTTGCCTAGGTTCATTGTCCCTTGCCACTAGGATTAAGTCAGGCCATCAAGTACACAATGTGGCTAGGGTCCTTAATTGTCCTTTGTCACCAGGATGAAGTCAGGCCATCAGGTACACTAAGTCTGGCTAGGTCTCTCGTTCTTTGCCACAAGAATGGAGCCAGATCAGTCTGCATATGCATGAAGTCAAACATAAGGTTCTACCTGTTGGCTGACTTACTTTAAACTTTCATCTTGATATCATAAACTTTTGTAATCAGCAATGCCAAAAATTGGAAGCTGGACATGTCGGTTTCAAAAACTTCAGATGCTTTTGGGTTAAAGATTAAGAATGATGAATATACATGTTTAATTTCAGGGCGTGAGATTTGACCCAGATTTACCCCAGACATTGAGATTAGAGTTTGCAAAGAGTAACACAAAGGTAACCAAACCTAAACAACAGAGCCCACAGCCAGCCACACATCCAACTCTGATACACCCTCTGACTGGGCGTAAGTCTTATTGTTTACTTTTACACTCCCTCCTCTTTTTGAAGGGATTATTTATTTCAACACACCTCCTCTATTTGAAGGGAAATAAATGTAATTTCTGGACACAATCAGTATATATAGAGATTAGTCAATACAAGTCTAACATGAATCTAAGCTGAAAGATGCTTATAAAAAATTATTTTCATATTAAAAACCTATCATAAGTAACAATATACTACCGGACTTATTTGACGCACCTATAGTGTAATGCTAACATTAGCGCGCTTTAACGCTATGTTTATAGCGCAAATGGCGTTATAACGTCAAAGTGGTATTACACTAGTGTAATATCGTCTAGTGTAATATCGTTTTTATTAAACGGCTTTATTACACTCCTGTGTCGCGGTTTATGTGATAAAACAATATACTACAGCACTTAAGTGTTATATACATGTAGGTAAGGGTAAGGGTATATATATATATTTTGTACAAGTTTTTCACTCCAAAGATATAACAAGCACCCACATTTCTTCTATGCTAATGTAGAATGCTTGTATAAAAATACATTTTTTTCTGAATATAACAATCCGAAATTATAATAGGGTAAGGTTATTTGATAAAATCGTAACATAATTTTAAAATGAGACTTTTTTTGCAAATTTTTATTTCACCATTTGTAATTAAATTTCTTGATAAGGCATATATTGAGAAGCCTGTCAATTTTTAATGAATTCTTTTGTTGCTATAGTAAGTACAATATTGACATATTTGACATATCTTATCAATAAACTATCATATTAGAATCTTATCAATAAAACTATCATTTTAGAATATTAGTTTATCACTTTTCATCTAAGTTTTCTAGTTTAGTCTAAAATTAAAGTGTTAAAATTTTTCAGACGATTGCACAAGATATTTTAATATTTATGTTTTAATCAATGCTTAGTTGAAGTTTTTCTTCAAAATACTGTATTTATTCTGTTACAGCCTCTTTCATGATAATTGCTTTTCAATTGATTAATTTGACTTTATGTTGAAATCTTAGTTACATGTTACATGTAGCACCTGTTTAAATTTTAGAGCAAAAATAAAAACTTGGTGTATTGTATAATTTTTTATAACTTTTATTATATTTTATTATGAGTACCTAATCTTATACTGATTTTTGTAGAATATGTATATCAATGTACCAAAATATTGCATACATGTATATACTTATACATCAAATTGTAAGGGAAATGTTACTATCTTAAATGTGTGAAAAAGATACAGTAAGCCAAGTTAATAATTAAAATTGATAAAAAAGATGTTATAAAAAATTCATTGTTCTAAGTCAGTCACCTTTAAACTCAATTTGATTAGTTTATCAGATTTAAAAAAGGGAAACAACTCATAATTGTTTGTAAATAACAAGAGTTGTAGCCCTTTGAATTCATTAAACATGTTTCTGTAAACAAATAACATGGCTTTTAGTAATGCTTTTCAAGTATCAAGCCAAGTTTTACCTTTTTTCTTCAAATGTTTTATATATATTTACTGTACTATTTGAGCGATTTATACACATTTATAATGCAATCTTTAATGCACCAGTACTTTACCTTTATCACTTTATTAAATCACTGGGAACCAAAAAAATGTGCCCTTTACAGAGCAATGGCCTATGAAGGCTACAAACATTCATAATATTTTTTTCATATGACATTATTCAATAATTGGTTATTTTTATCTGCCTCTGGGTCTGTGCAAGACATTTACATGTAGATTTTAGGCGGAGGGGGTGGGGGGGGGGTTATAAAACTAAGCAGAAAAACATCCCTGTAATTATAAAGGATATTGATATATTGTGACTGCAGGTGTTAACCTGTGTATGTTCATGGTTGACTTTATAGAGAAAATCGGGGCGTCCATGGCGGAGTGGTTAAGGTCGTTGACTTCAAATCACTTGCCCCTCACCGCTGTGGGTTCGAATCGCGATAGGGACTATGGATTCTTTCATGTGAGGAAGCTAGCTTACGGAACGTCGGTGGTTCTACTTGGGTGCCCGTTCGTGCCTTAAATAATGCACGGAAGGGCACCTGAGGTCTTTCTCCACCAGTAAAGCTGGAACGTCGCAATATGACCTATACTGTGTCGATGTGACGTAAAACCCAAAACAAACAAACAATTTATAGAGAAAATCAACTGCACATTAATTAATGGTGTTCATGGCTAATGTTATAGAGAAAAATCATCTTGAATCATTAAACCACTCTTTTTTGCATGAAGTTTCATGAAAACTGACTAGAAACATAGTACATGTATACTGAGTGAATTGTACAACAGCTTGATGATTCTACAGCTTGTTTATCATATTACTCAGAATACTATTAGTCTACGTACACTATTTACTAGCATGTAACAGTAGGTTTTAATGAATAAACCTAATTCTTTCACCTATGACAGCAACTGTACATTTAGTACAAATCTTTTACGCATCTTTTATATATCAAAATACCTCACTCACGTGTGTGCGTTTTTTTATCTTCTTTCATTTTCACAGAGGATTTGGGGGCGGCATTTTTCCCAGCTGCCGGACCTGAAGCCTGGGCTCCACCCCACGCCCTTGCCTACCCGGAACTTGCCCCCACGGCTCTACACCACACAGCCACACTTATGCAGCACCCAGCCCTCACACAACTTCCTGTTCGGGTTAGTTATATATTTACTTTTTAATATATAATATTTATTATGTATATTATCTAATGTATAACAATTTACACTGTACAACTGTTTTTGTCACTTTTTTCGTCTTTTGGTTTATAAATCAAAAGTTTGAAAACCAGTCGTAACATTATTTACATGTCATTGGTCAGTTTGTAATACTAGATTTAAATCAGCCAATCAGATTCTTGTATTCCAAGACTGGTTTAGAAACTATTGTTTTATGGTCAGAGACTAAGATATACTATAAATACTCACAGGGGTATGATTTCACCACTCCCTTGTTGTCAAGTGTGTGCAGGCATATATTATACTATACCGTTTTTAATTGTCAACCATTTTTTCCAATTTGAGAGGACGGAGTTAAATTCTAGAAAGCGTAAATGTGAAACTTTCTAATATTATAAAGTCCACAATTCAGGATTTTTTAAAAAGAAAGTATGCAAGTGTATGCAATGGATTGTTAACTTGATTATTAATTTTCATAAAGTATTTTTGTCATTAGGAAATGTTTAATTTTAATACTATTAGGAGGAGGAGAGGAATAGAATTTCGTAAATATTTTTTCCTTTGTTTTAAAATAAAGAAGTTAAAAAATGATAATTGTGTCAAATTATTTCAACATTTGTTCAGCTCTGTGGGTATTTATAGTAGAAAAAAAAAGATAATTGATTTGTAAATTGATATTTTTAAATGCTTGTGTGTAAATGTCAGTGATAATTTGACCTTTATGACCTTTCTAACACTAGGTATCTAACCAACAGCTACATAGATTTCATGACCAGCAATCGTTGACTGCTCAACAATATCTGCAACACTCATTCTACAGTCAAGATGTAAATAGAATGTTCTTATTTTTCTCTTTGCTGGTTTTTTTTTTGTTGTTTTTTTTTTGGCTGGCAATCTTTAGATCGCCTGACCACAGAGTTTTAACCATACTTTTCAAATCATGCAGTCAACTTTTGGTTGATTTTTTTTAGAATGGATTTTTTTTTCTTTTTTAAGTTGGTAATGCCCTATTTTATGTATATACTGGGTAAATTCTATTTTGTTTACATTGAAATACAGCCTTGACACCTAAAAGACGTTGACCATGAAGACCAAATTTTCAAAATTCAGGAAATTCTAAATTATTTTCTGTAACTTTGTTACATTGGAACAGATTTCGATATTATGAACATATTTGTTTACTTAAAGACCAGTTTCTGAATAATGAAAGGTCAAAGGTCAAGTTTGAACTGACTTTAAGATACAGTGCTCCTTGTTGGCAATGATAACTGCCATCAATTTGTTCAGCAAGTTTCACTGTGACTTAATTGTTTGTGTATGGTCTAAAAATATCTCACAAATTCAATCACTTTGAAATGGTTTATTCTAATGTATGGTAAAAATACAGTTCACCTTGACCTGTGATGGTAAAGGTCGTATGCATAAAAAATAATATTGTGTGACAGTTTAATTGAAGAAAGTAATAGGCTGGAGAATGCTTGAACCAGTTCTAAACAAAGTAGATAATCTTTATTTGATAACTTGTTATTGATATATATATATAAGAACATTGTCGAATGTAAGCCTAACTAGACACTAGGTCACAGTGTTTGAATAGTTACAAAACTGATGTAAAATAACAATATTATACTCTACAATATAAAAATGTATATTGTTGTATAGATTGTTGTTGTATAGACATGATGTCTATTAGGCTTACACTACTCCACACCAAGACAATACCCAGGTTAAGGGAGGACTTTTTTTTGCTGTGTTTTGATGTGAATTATGGCTGGGAATGGCAAACTTTCTTATATTCAGTGGCTGGTAACATGTTCTAGTGATTTTGAGATAAACTTCGGACTTAAGTTCTTGAATCAAAAAGACCCCAAAGTACTGTTTAAAACAGTGATTTTTCTTTTACTTTTTCTTTCATATATTTTCATTTTATGTTTTTAATGTTTATTATTGATTATTAAATGATAATGCCCTGTTTTAAATGCTGCATGATTTATTTGTCTTATTTTTTTATACTTTAATGATTCTTGTATAAATGTGAATTTAATTTTAATCACTTTATGAAAAAAAAAACACTAAATTATCAAACACTAATCAATATTTCCACAGTTCAAATGGTTTTAAATGAGACAAAGCAAGTATTGGATCCACTTTACTATTTACTGTGCACATTAGCAATTATTTTAGCACTTTTTAAACTATTTTTATATATATGATTAAATTAGGCTCCGCCCACTGAATTCACTTTATTGCAACTAAAACTCTGCCCACTGAAGTCACTATATTGCAACTAGGCTCCGCCCACTGAAGTCACCATCTTGCAACTAGGCTACACCACTGGGTATCACAATATTGCAACTTAAGCTCCGCCCACTCAACTCACATAAGATGCATTTGACTCTGTCCTATAGTTCACTATTTGCATATTATGCTCCGCAAACTTGAGTCACTTTCAGTTTGGCTCCACCTATTATGTATGTATCGTTAACATTTATACAAAGCAAAGATGTACTTAATTGATAACAATTGTTTTGCACATGCAATTATATAGTCAAAACAAAAGCAGTATGTAACAGTACATGTATGTTGAATATTATAATGATTACTGGATAATAAATGTACACTATTTTACTCCAATTTAACACAGTATATCACTTTGACCTTCCAAATACATGGTCGAGTCATCATTATTAATGTTCGTCTAAAAATCTTAATTACTTTCCTGAAATTGTTTTTCTTACACTTTCCTTCATATAGAATTTTACTTATGTAGTTGTAAGCTTATTTTTGTAACATTAAAGTATATTTTGTAATTAGATGTTTATTTTCAATATTTTTTTTTCAATTAAAAATCTTCAATTAAAGAAACTTACCACTAGATTAAATAAACTTCTTATTAAGCTTTCAGTAAATTAAAGCATGCAGTTGTTTTGAAAAGTAACAAAAAGCCCGAACTTTTTGTGCGTGTGTGTGTGATATCAAAAGTTTATAGTAATGTGGCAATATTTGTTATTGATACCTGTCACAGATTTCACAGCTCCCATCATTTCTTGTTTCTTACGTCACATCTGTTTCCTAAGTTTATGTTGGTGATGGTTTCCTTTTTTCAATTTTACACTCGCCTGTATTTTTAGCTCACCTGATGTAAAGGTTCATTTAAAATAAAAAACTTAAATTTCATAGAAAAAGATTACTGGACTGCCTTTCTTACTCTTGCTACACCATTCTGCCCAAGTTTTACTCAAAGTTTCTGGAAGAAATATTTTTTAAAACAAATGGTATAACAAAGAAATTGTTACAAATTTACTGTTTTTAACATCAAAATTTATATAATTATAATTATATCAATATTCAGGTGAGCAGTTCCTGTCCATTCTGGCTTTCTTATTTGTTTTTGATCTATTTTAGTTGGGCATTTCATTTGTATAATTTGTTTTGTAAACCCCTCATGTGTCATAAAGCCTGAAAGCTTCTGAGACGAAATGCTGCCTCTAAACAACAACTAAGCTCCTGATTGGATGAAACCATTTGAATTTAACCAATCATGTTCTTTTATACATAGGCAAGCTCCTGATTGGATGATACCATTTGAATTTAACCAATCATGTTCCTTTATACATAGACTGATTCTGAATTTATTGATTCTTGTAGAAGCATTTTTTGGTGACTGCTTCTGAAGTTATTAATTTTTGTAGAAAGATATTTTGGAGACTGGTTCTGAAGTTATTAATTCTTGTTGGTAGGTATTTGGGATCCATCTATTTAAAAGGTTTAGGCCTGATTAGTGTGAAACTCGAGGGATTTGAATACTTTAAAAAGAGTCAAGTAATTGTACCAGTTAAAACTATGAAATTAGCAAAGTTGCTCACATTACAGAAGTTCGTACTCTGTAGGACTTTTTATCATGTTTAGATAACACACGATATGCTTACAAGCTGTTGAGGGTTTATTTTTAAGTTAAGTCTGGGGTAGAAACAAGGTTTAAAGCATAACACTGTTCCATTGGTTAAAATCTTTTGATATTATAATCATCCAATCAGAGGCTACAGTTTTAGACTGGTCAAAGATGTGCTTAGGGTCCAACCTTTTTTACTGGTCCAAAGTGTACTTTAGGTCAAACATTTTTGCCTTGTTGGGTTCGATATATAATCATTATAATTTAATAGTTAAATTTGGCATAATATTTTAACTTATGGCTTCCATGTTTTACTCTTATGATTATATTATTTCTAGGCTGTAGATATGAATGCATTAGCTCTACAAGCTGGTAATCCAATAGGTTATGAGGTAAGGGAGACAACTCTTGAATTATTTATCAGAAAAAGAAACTATTTAAAATTAAACAAATAATAAAAAAAGTCAGTTAAAGTGATGTTTGAGCTATTACATTAATGCATGTTTTCAAATATAAAGGGCATGTACATTTTGAAGTATCAGAAATGTTCACAAAGTGTAAATTTATAGACGTTCACCATTGGGAAGCTGACGGCTCAAAAAATGTCCTATCTCTCTGCAGACAGTTTGATGCCTAAAAATGGTCATATGTTTATCATACTCGCAATCTAAATAAACCATAATAGTCAAAAAGGTCTTGTTGTGAGCTAGATCTCCGTTACCTGTCAAAGTATTCCAATTATTTAAGGCCAATAGTAAAATAAAAGAACATAACGTAATATACAAATGTATATTGTGGCATCATTTTGTTTGTAGAAATTCTTGACTTCCTGTCACTGATTCACTATTGTGACTATTAACAACAGCACATGGCCTTTATGCACTTTGTAGCTTAAGTGAGTTGGGAGCACTTGTAGTCTCTGTAATGATTGATGATGATGCTATTTATAGGCTGTTGCTAAATGTAACATCACTTGTTGCATCATCTCTAAAAATAACTATAAAATGTTGCTTATTATAGCAATACTGATTACATCATTTCTAAATATGGAATGGTGATTTTACATTATTACATAATATAGCAAAACTTATTACATCATTGCTGAAAATAGCAATATATTGTTTCAAAATAATGGCAATATCTTATTTTATTATCTCCAAATAATAGAGACAAATTGTTTTATTTTTTTTGCTTTTTTTTAAACTCATATTGATTTTAAATATAGGAAAATGGTCTCTTAGTGAAAAAAGGCTGTATTGATTTGGAACGATATTTTTTTTTAAACTTGGAAAATTGTCCTTTTATTTTCATGAGTACTCCAGTTAGTGACATTGTTTAGTCATTTATGTTATGTAAAATCAATGTTATCCGTTCCTCTATTAAACCTAAATGCCTTTTTGAATTTATTTATATAGATACACCCTGCAATGATGCACGGAGCAGGCTCAGTTTCCGCCACCTTGCCACACCCATCATTGGGTGCCACACCTATCTTCACTAGCCCAATATGCGGGCTACCACAGGTAGGTGTTATTAAACAGTATTACTAACCAATAAAAAACTATAGCATACTCCATGCTGCAAGTAGATGAAACCAAATTCTTTATATCTCAATCCACATTTTTGAGATTTCAGATTTTATGTTAGCAAAAATGTTTTGATTTATAACTCAAGTTTGTGATTCTTTATTTACTAGGACCTGAAATTGTGACTCATGACCAACAAAGTTGATTAATTAAGATTAATCACAAAGTGTTTGATATTCTGTAGGCAATGTTTATATTTATATATATATACAGTTGCTGTACAGAAGTAGTTTAAATGCATATTTTAGCATCCATGTTTGAAATGCAGGAATGTTGAATTTATGTTTATTGTTTCTTGTTAGTGTTTCAATTTATTTACCTGTACTATTTACCTGTATGATTTATTTTGCTTCTGTAATAAGATTATTAGAAAGTTGTATGATTTTTGTATGATTTACCATACAAGTGTTACCCTCTATTTAAGCAATGTTACATCCTTATAATTATATTCTGATGTTTTAGACACACATAATATCCTTTTAACATGTAAAGTTTCACACTTATAACTTTCTATGGACTTTTTTTTCGTTTTTTAAACTATTCTATATTCATAATTTCAAGTGTAGACACAATTTATTATTTTGATATAATTATGATAACACTAGCTTATTATTTTTTATACATATTAATAACACTAGACTGATATTTATAGGCCAGCTCAAACTTGTAAAAAATTGTAACAAAATGACTAATTACTTTTAGAAGAAGGTCTAATTGTACTAACAAAACAAATGTTTTATTCTAATGATACGATAATGTCTTAAAGTATTATAAGAAAACATGAACATTAGTTTAATACTAAACTATATAACTCTTTCTGATGTTTGACATTGATGAATTCAGAATGTTCTAGGCCAAAACTTGATATGGTTGTACTATTTTAATGTTTAATTTCGTGTTTCTCTCAGATGCAAGTTGCTATGGGAAAGGTAAGCCTAGTTGAAAACACAATTTTGCAAAAATAAAACATTCATACATGCACAATGAAGAACTGTCCCCTATTTGATGTTAAAATCTAACATGGACTCAGTCATGAATTGTGTACAATTTTGATATACTTATCTCAGTCACAAATTATGTACATTTTAAATATAACTTGACTCATTCACAAAATTATGTACATTTTAAATATACTTGACTCATTCATAAATTATGTACAATTTAAATATAATTGAATCAGTCATAAATTATATATATATTTTGACTATGCTTGAATCAGTCTCAAATTGTGTACATTTTGAATATTTTTGACTTAGTCAAGTTGTGAACATCATAGATACAAGCCATTTGAAGCATATCAAGTTAATTTACAGACATGCCTTAATTTGACTATTTGAGAAAAAAGTTCTGAATCGTCATCATATTGGTTATTTAAGATATTGCTAAAAATAAAATTCTGATTTCTTAAATTCTGATGAAGTATTTTATCATAATTATTGTTTGGTCATTGTACATAAACAGTGTAACAATCAGGTGATATCCAATGATTAAAGTTTTTGCATACAGCGATATTTTAATTTTCATTATTTGACCATTGCTTAACATTAACTGTTTGTTGGTCAACTTCACACCATAAATAGAGGATATTGAATGAGTGTAAGTTCAATACTGAATTTATTGCACGAGTTGAATAAAATTATATTATGCGAGCCTCTGGCGAGCATAATATTATTTTATTCAACGAGTTCAATAACTTCAGTTATGAAGCTACACGAATTTAATATTCTATTTATCACATACCAAAAATAAAGAGACCGTTTTAGGTAAAATAAGAGTCATTTTTCATTGACGCGCCTATAGTATAACGCTAACATTTAGCGCGTCTTTACACTATGTTTGAATAACGCTAATGACGTCACGTCAAAATATATGCACGGCCGTGCAATACCATATTTACGGAGTCGCAAAATCGGCACGGGTGTGTGATAAATTATAATAGTGAGCAACTATTGTGATGTTACATTCATATGGTGCTGGATCTTTGTTTCTCTCAAAGTTTTTTTATATGAAAAAAATTAGCCTTTCATAGATTTTTTTCGAGTTTTTAAACATTCTTTTGTTTGGAAGAACATTTTATTGTTTAGACTAAAATCTCATAAGACAAACCTTCAGGTTCAGTGAACTATTAAGGTCACCCCTTACATAAATGTCCAAGTATGACTACATTTTACCTTAATGTAAAAGTTGGGGCATCCGTGGCTGAGTGGTTAAGGTCGTTGACTGCAAACCACTTTCCCCTCAGTGGGTTCAAATCCCGACTTGGACTTTGGATTCTTTCATGTGAGGAAACTAACAGCTAGCTAACGGAACGTCTGTAGTTCTACACAGATGCGTGTTCGTGCCTGAAATAATGCACGGAAAGGCATCTGAGGTCTTCCTCTACCAGTAAAGCTTGAACGTAGCCATATGACCTATACTGTGTCGGTGTGACGAAAAACCAAATAAATCAACCAATCAATCAATGTACAAGTTAACGTATTCACCACCTTAATGTACAAATAAAGTCAGCAGTTACCTGCAGCGTAAAACTTAGCGAAGCCGTCACCTCATATTTTTGGTTTTTTCTATCCCTGAAATTTTTTATGGACAATTTCGGGTTAAAAACAAACTGATAGATTGAAACAGAGTGAACCGAAAATTGATTGATATGTTCTATATTTTGTGATATTGTCAGATTGTTACACTGATTTCATGAACGTTTTGTAAAGTGTTCATCTTTAAGTCACAAGATGTTTGAGCCTGGCCCATCGTACATATGTTTTGTATAAACCACAGTTATTTTTGTTATTTTTAGCACATTTTTATCATATATTAAAGTACTGTACGCACTATTTTTTAAAACTACAATTTCATAGCTTATTTTCCCATTAGTAGAGGACTTTTTGTATAAACATTGGCATGATAGATTAAAAGAGAAGTTTGTAAACTGGTAGAATATGTTATTAACAAAACTGTTAACTAAAGTCGATCTTCAAAAGCACTTTTAGCCATTTCATTTACTTATTTTAATAGTAGTGTACAGTAGATTTACAAAAAGAAAAATACTTTTAGTTTAAGCTCCTTTCTCTTTACCAAATATATTTACACAATTCCTTGAGCTGTTTCCAAAATATATTTCATGTCAAACTTAGAAAAAAGTAGTTCTGAAGGCACTATTTTATGTAGCTCATGATCAGAATCTTGCACTATTTTACCACCCCTCATATTCATACGCACCAATCCGCTTGCTTTGAATCAATGCATGCTTCTTGTTATAATAATGTAACTGTAACTATGTCATATCAGATTTTTTATGGTTAACTTTTTAAGGAAAATCATTTCTGTTTGTTTTCAATGTTTGAAGTTTTTGAACGTAAAATGATTCAACAAATTACATAACATACATGTATATATTGTTGACAAAAAAAGAAAAAGAAAAAAAGAAATTCTGGTATGGCATGTCTTTGAAAGCTTATATAAGACATTATTGTATTTTTTACTAAAAAAATAGTAACAAAATTGTGGTAATAAACTGTGGATATCTTACCAGATTTTATAAAATGGTTGACTTTGAAATTTCCTTAATTATCCCTATGGTCCATTATTTGTACAATATTGTTACTATTCATAGATTAAGGAATACAATAAGTATTATATTATCATGCACATATCACATGTCATCACGCTGTGTATGATTTGTATGTAATCAATCAAACAACCATCAACGTGACCCTCACATTATCTCTGTTCTCTTAGGCGGTGAATGGTGCAGCCTCGAGCCCTGGCCTCCCAGCAGGCCTTCCCGGTACAACTACTAATTCACCTTGTTCTACTCTATTTGTTGCAAACCTAGGCCAGTTCTCTTCAGAACAAGAGTTAAAAGATTTATTCAGCAGGTAGGTGTTGACTCCCTTTAAATTATTTCCAAATCCCCAGACTTCGCAGTCAGAAAACAAATTTACTTTATTATTTGGTACCGGATACATAGGAATTATTTGCATCGGTTTATTGTTTCTCCCTTAATATGTAAATTCTTCTAAAATCTTTGTCACTGGAACCATGAGAACCATACAATATATACTTATCTAAACATGTAGTAAAAGTAGATCTTTTATTATTATCTATAAACATTGGTTATTTCTGTATTTTTGTAGATTTATTTTGTCCCTAGTATTGCTTAACAAATCCTATGTATCTAGTATTTTTGGTTTCTCAGATGACACAGTTTAGTTTTAAAATCTTCGAACACATCTTTCTGCCGTCTGTCCGTCTGTTCTGTTGAGACATATGCCATTTATAAAGACTTATAAACTTATTATAAAATATTTATCACTGATCACAGTTTGCTTTACAACACTTTTGTTTACAATTCATGTTTTAAAAACAACAGAGACATATTTATATTTGCACCAAGTTATGTTTCAAAAGTTTAAAGGCATGGCGCACACCGTGTTTCTTTTGCATTGTGGGATATAATATGCCCGGTGCATTATGGGATTTAATTATATTACTTCCAATGCTCATAACAACTTGACAGCCATGCATCGTGGGATACACATGCATATGAAATGTTATAATGTTAAATAAGGAACTTTTTATTACAGTTTCCAGGGATTCTCCAGATTAAAAATGTACAATAAAGGGGGTTCACCTGTATGTTTTGTAGAATATCAGGTAAAAACTTCTAGAAGATAGCCAATTTTTTTATAAAGAAAAGAAGTATATTTTATCAAATAAAAACAAAAAACAAAAACAAATTGATATTAGAAATTAGAATTTGGCAAAATAAAAAAAAGAAAAAGGAAAATTGTCATGTTAACAGTTTTGCAGTCAAGATTAATTTTTACTGTAACCTTTATATAAATTTTTTTTTCTGTTTATTTTAGTCATGATAATTATAATTAAACGATTAAATTTTTTTTTCTCCTGCAAAAAAAAATCAAAATTTATTTAAATTTAAAATCACATATTTTTTTCTCTTATCTCTTTTGATTATTTCATTAAAAGTTTTATATTTTACAATCAGGAAGTAAAGCATGCATCTGAGGCCATGAGTAGACTACAGGGTTTTGTGCTTTTATCCTCTGACCGCGGAGGAATACGTATAGAATATGCTAAGCATAAAATGGGAGAGGTCGTTACTGCATAATCAGGTTTTTAAAAAATGGTACGAAAGTCACATAACTCTTCTGAAGTCAGGGAATTTTTAATTTGAAGTGGGGGAATTGGTCTCGTGTGATTTTATTCTAATATACATCTATTCTGGGAGGGCATACTTTTTGTTCGGGGAAAATGTGTGAAATTTGTGATACATAAATTGACAGGGTGTGTCTCACTATGCTTTGTGTGAACTCTTGTTTTGTAGTGTTTCTTATTTCAACACTTTGATTTTAGGCACTTTTTCACTACACATTGCATGTGGAAAACAATCCCAATTTCTTATTGGTGGATGGTATAGCACTTGATGCCTAAATATAGTAACATAGTCACATGACCTGTACTCTTGTTTACACATTAGCATTTTGAATATGAACTCTTTCCGCTTTATAATTTCTATGTATTTTTGTCCTGATTTTCTGTGAAAAGTTAGCCTTTAGTTCTTGCAGCACAATTGCACTCTCTACTGTCACTTTCCTTTTTTCTCTTTATATAATTAGAGCATTGCATATTAACAATGATGTGTACTTAATATCAAATCCACTCTATATATTATTGTGTGTTACATTTATCCAAATAATATCTATAAATAAACATTATGCCATTGGTTTATTTTATTGTGCTATTTTTATCGTACAATTCTATATATAGATATAATGTGATTGGCCTGTTAACACAGTATTCTATATTTAAACATTATGCAATAGTTCATTATGACACAATATTAAGCATTTTAAATCATTTTAAAAATGGAGCTTTATAAATTCAATAAATGCAGTATTTAAATTATTTATATTCTTAATTTAAATTCACTTTTTCTGGTTTATCCACAAATAAAGATTTTATTTTCTCATAGTAGAAATTTTAAAAAATGCTGCGTATAAGCAGTTTTATTATTCATTTTAGGTTCATATGCAGTTAGTTTCGTTGTGAATAAATTTATTTATTTTTAATACGTTTTAACATTAAAAATAACTAAATTATAACTAAATTATTATCATTCATTTTCCCGTCGTTTACTATGAATGATTTATTAACATAATCTGATAGCTGAAACTTTTTGATGAAAATGAAACGTGACACATTTTGAAGTTTTCTGCAAAAATATGCCTTGTTTATACAATTTAACACTTTTAATTCAATTCAGGATTCAAAATTATACGAATGAAAGAGAAATTTGAAAATATTATCAACACAGAATTTTAATTAAAATCATTTTGACGTAGTACATAACTGACATGTTCAGCAATGAAATTGAATGATACTAGTTGAAAATGGTGATGATACTAATGATCGTGATAGGGTTAAAATGGGAGGAGCGTGATAGGGTGAAAATGGGAGGAGCGTGATAGGGTGAAAATGGGAGGAGCGTGATAGGGTAAAAATGGGAGGAGCGTGATAGGGTGAAAATGGGAGGAGCGTGATAGGGTGAAAATGGGAGGAGCGTGATAGGGTGAAAATGGGAGGAGCGTGATACTGTCATGACAAATGCATAAGATTTCACCTACATTCTAACGAGTTCGTTGCCTTAAAATGTAGGTTATGTAAAATTGTTGAAACTAAGTAATAGTCTTTTCAAAATAATTGATTACAGATCTTTTATTGAAGAACTCTGTTTCTATGTTTGATTGAGTTTGTTCAATGAATAAAACATACATACTTTTATAAACCTAATAAGCCTATATCTTGGTAGATAATTAAAGTAATTTTATGGACAAAGATACTGACAAAATGTTATTCCTGTCTTAATTGATAGGGTCACAATATGAGTGTTTTCATAACACAGGATCAGCTAGATTTATAATATAACGTTCTTTTTTTCTTTTATTTATTTTCATCAATTTAGATTTAACTTGTTATAAAATATGTTTTTATTATAACATTTCTTAATCATCCAGAAAACAATTTCAAATAAGATTCTAAATATGTAAGTAAATAAAAAAAATTGATTGTATGTATACCAATTACTACTAATTTGCAGGCGTGAAAATATGCTAACCCTGCTGAATTTCATACAATGCCTGTTGGCTTTCGTTGTTTTTTTTTAAGTGTTCGTTATCAAATAAAGAGATGTCATGTTTAAAATTTTACATAAATTAACCCAACAGGATAGAGTTTCGTCAAACGTAACAAATGTGGATCCGTGCTGGTTGTCAATCATTTCTAGTCACCCTATCTCTATTATAGCCCAGATATAATGGGTCCTGAGTATGAACAGTAAGAAAGTCATTTGCGATGTAAAAGTAGTGGCAAACTTTTATGATGAACAATCAGGGTAAATGTGGGTTCAAGCCTTACCTGGGTCACTTCTATAGGTTTCTTCACATGTTCACATGACACCAGTTGTAATTCGTAAAAACAAACAAAAAACAAAACAGACCATCAAAATTGATTTATTTATGGTATAAACATAAGATAAAATATAACTTTAATTGAAATTGTATTGTCAGTTATGATTGGCAAAGTAAGGAAAAATCAAATCATTAATTTATAGGCCAAATAAAAAAATCAAACATAAATGCTGTAAAAAAAACAGATTGAAACTAAAATGTGATTTTAAGCCACATTATGGCTATTTTTAGTTATGATATTTAATTGCCATTTATTATGATATTTATTTGTCATTTATTTTGGGACCATATTAGAAGGTGTTAATTAAACTTTAAAATTGTAGTTTATATTTAGGTAAATTATAGGTATTTTAATAAAAACTGAACTGATGTTTATTTATTACTGGGTTGATGAAATCAAGAAATATTTAAACATGACAAGTTATAATCTGGTGAAATTAGGAAAAACATTCTAGAGCGGAAATTTATTTATGAAATGGGCAAAAATGATTTAAATGAATTTGAGAAAATTTGTATTCAATCCTTACTGTCATTTATTTTAGGGCAAGTTTAGGAAAATTTCAATAAAAACTGAAGTGCTATTTAAAGGCAAATTTAGGAAAACTTCAATATAGGCCTAACAGATCTTTTATTTTCTTGAAATTAGGTTTCAAGGGTTGTCATATAAACACTCTTTGCAATATGTGATAAAAACTCTGATACAAGACATACCTGACTATCGTTCAGTTTTTAGGCCAAATGAAAAAAAATGTCAATCAAAACTTGATTGTTATTATATAAGTGTGTTTGGCCAAATAAGGAAAAGTTCAGGTAACCGTTGGATTTATAAGATTGAGTTGATTATGATAATGTATAAACAAGATACCTTGTGACTATGATAACACTTCAATATTTATTTCTTTATATTCCTATATCATTTTGTAATGCATATATTTTACACCAGGGTGACAAAATCAAATGGAAAAATACCAAAACAACAACATCAGATAATTAAAAGTGTGTAAAAAGAAGCAAGCAAAGCTGACATTATAAGAGTTCACAAAACAAGTTTAAAGTTGATTTCTTTCAAATTTGAGTTATCAGTTCAGTTTCCTTGAGTTTAAAGTTGAATATTCCCTTGCTTTTGTTTAGATTATGTCTTCATCAATTTCTATTATATTAACATGTAATACTATTTAAGTTTATTGCTTCAGTCTTTCTAAAATAATCTTTAAATTAAAAAAGATATAGTAACTTTATTCAGTTTCTGTCTTTGATTAATATTTCTGATAATGACAAGTAGATATCGGATTTGGCATAATATTTATTATATTCCAATTGGCTTTATTATTAATACTAATTCTGATTACTGTAAAATCATTTTAATTTGTGTGTCATTTAATATCATATCATATCAATTTTGTTTTCTTGACCTTCAAATTAAACTATTAAAATATGCAAGTCAATATGTGACAGAAATTTTAGAATTGTACACACAAATTTAAATGACTTTACAGTATGCTCCAAATTCAAAACATTTTTTTTTTAATTTTTAGACATAGTTGTGATGTTATGTGATTTTTTTATTCATATAGGCAAAGAGAGAAGAAATGATGAGTCCCGCGCAGTCGCCTCCCTTGTCCGTGATGACGTCATAGTTACCAGATGTCTTTGAACTCATCCATGACCTTTGACCTTGCGATGAGTAATATGTCAGGCATTCCTGTAAAAGGGGAAAAAGATAATTTATTGAACAATCATATTTGGTAGCAAAACAACAATGTTTGTTATATGTGTTATATAACTTGACCTTTACTCTTACGTTTGTGATGATATTATTACATCATTTTGGTGTAAAATGATTGGTTATTCAGATCATGTGATCAAAATATATTGCCTGTTATATAATATGTAACATTATTTATATAAAATATTAAGAGAGGTTGCTATTTCATATTTTATAGGGTATATTTATGTTTTAGACATTTAGGTAAAATTACAATTCTCCATTTTATAAGGCCAGTTGCTTTTAAATTTTGGATTTATTCTTCTTCTTTTTTGTATAGAATAAGAATACTTTTGTAATTATATTGAGGAAATACTGGAATTCACATAGAACTAAAAATTTATAGATATTTTTAATTTCAAGGTACATATAACATATGAAATGGCAGTCACTCTTGTCTATATACTTGTGGTTGGTGAACAAATATTTGATGGTGACAGGTTGAGTGCTGTATGTTTTTGTGTTTGTTGTTGATGATAAATAATTTCTTATATACATTTATTATAGTAATGCATAGCATTTTATATCTTGTTTTTTTTTCTTTATTAAACAAGCATTGGGCTCTATCTATATTTGGGTTACATAACCAGGGTTTTTATTTTACTTTCAAAGTATATTGCATGAAATAAATATCTTTACAGGATATATGAACTTTACAGGGTTAAGATATTTAAATAATCATTACATACCTTGTTTAGGACATGTGATATTTTTTTGAACTTCGTGTTTTAGAAACAAAAATATAGAAAAAAAATAGAATCAAAATGTTTAAGAAAATTTTCAGAAACCATAAGTGTATTATTATATTAAAATTACATAATAAATAATTAATGAATTTAGGATATATAATAAAACACGGGCATTAAGCCAGGAGGTGCGATAATCACGTTTAAGACCTTGTTACAAAAATGTTTTTTCAAAATTTTCTAAATAAGTCAATTTATTCGTTATAAACGAAGAGTCCGTCATAACGGTAAAACATATCTTATTAAAGGTCACAATCATCCTCATCTCTGCAGAAACAAAACAATCACTGTTAAAAACCACTGACCTTCTTCCAAAAACAAGTATCAAATAAAATTATTAAAGGACCAAGAAAAGTTTTGTTTTATGTTTGGCTTAGAAAAGTAGGTTTTAATGGACACTTCAGTCCAATCAATCAGCTTTTTACACATGTAGCGGCATAGTTGTAACTTTGTTGTAATATGTCAGCCTATTTACACCATGTTAGCGCATATGGTGTAATATTAAAAATTAAAGTGTGCATTTTGTATATAATAATTATATATTTGTTCTAAAGAATTTCCTGTAGGCATGTACACTTAAACAATGACATAAATATTGTGTATACACGGATGAGAAGGTTCATAATAAAACGGAAAACATATTACCATAAAAACAGAAACTTGGTAGGGTAAAATGGCAGGAGCTGGAAACGAAACAATAGATTGTCAGAATCGCTGCTTGGAGAAGTAACAATTTATAAAAAATACAGAAGGTGTTACAAATGCAGTCATGTTTACATGAAATGACCACGTATGCAATGTTTGATATAACAAGCGGAATATAAAGCAAAAATTTTACGGTGAGCATGTTGACATTCCAAAAGTAGTATTTGATTACGGGAACCTCTCCTCTTCTATGTTATATCAATATCTTGCAACAAAGGTAAATGCCTAAAGAATGAAGCACTTTGTAACAACAATCTGTAAAATACAACTTCAGTGTGAGACGAAATATCACCGAACGTGTAGATTTTTTATAAGTTCCTTTCATTGTCAGAAAAAATAACCATAGAAGCTATATTAACATGGTGATCTTCTCGAAATAAAAAAACAAATCATTGACACAAAAAGCCAACCGTCAGCCGTAAGAATTAGTAAAATAAAAAAAAGAATCGTCTAAATAAATTGTTAAAGAAATAAAGTCTTAAAATTAGAAATAAGAACTGTTCCAAAGCTCGTGACAAAAAAAAATTATAAGAGAACATATCATTGTTTCTATCCTACCCAGGTTTTATGCATCGCAAACCACATAATTGTTTTAAAATAATTCATATGAAAGCTTTATTGTAGAAAATGTTTTTTCCAAGGACATGTATACATATATGATTTAATTTGAAGATTATAGTGAAAAATGGGATTTTTTATCGAAAGCTATATCAAAAGTAGTTGGCATGTTTTAAATGCCATTTTCGTCAAATTTTGTAATACAGAATAATGAATATTTCATTTTGTTGCAAAAACAGCTTTATAGGACTAGTAGCTGGCCAGGGATTTCTGTATGAGACTGTCAAAATGACTGCGGGCAACTTGATAATTACTTCAGCTTACATTATTTATGGTATGGTCAAACTGAACTTGCTGTCACGTAATTTCAACATTGTAATTAGGAAGTACACGCTGAATTACATGACAATAAAATAAAGATGTTAGCGAGATTTCATTTTCTAAGAAAACGATTGAGTATGAAGTTTGGTACCAATAGTATATTATAAATGATAATATTATATAATCAGTAAGGTAATCGTAAACTGAAAGACCATTGTTATATTGCATGTGGGAACAATTTCAAAATCAACCAAATGTTGGTTTTAGCACGACCAAGGATAAGCAGGTATAAAAAATATACGTCTCCAACTTTGTCTTAACTAGTATTATAACGAAAACTCACACATGTTTGAAGTCACTTTCAAATTATGTAGTCACCACGAAATATTGTAACTATGCAATTCTAATATCTAGCACCGATGTTAATTCTTATAGTGATGAAAAAGTTCTTATAGTGGACTATGAAATTTTGTCCTTAAAAACGTGAAACCTGAAATGGTGAATTTAAGAATACATAAATAATTCTATGGTATTCAGAAACCAACTGTGACAAGAAATAAAATGGATTTTAAGGTAATGGACTAACTGTGGTTACCAGAAATAGAAACCTATACACTTACTATGACCAGTTACTATTGGAGAATTAAATGATTTTCTTGTATGATGTAATGTGGCCTTTTAAATTGATAATCCAAAAATAAACAACAATCCTGGTTGATTTACGGAATATGCAATAACAAATATAAACTATAAACAATATACTGTGTTGTGTAATTGAATGTATTAAATACACAATATAATATGTTGTGTAATTGAATGCGTTAAATACACAACGTAGTGTGTTGTGTAATTGAATACGTCAAATACACAATATAATATGTTGTGTAATTGAATGTATTAAATACACAATATACTGTGTTGTGTAATTGAATTGTTTTTCTTGTCAATTTGGTCCATTGCCTTACAGGAATACAAATGTTAAGAGTTTGTAACAATATAAGAAAAGAGCTTTTTAACCGAATTTAGTAAATATTCATGTGTAACCATGTTCGTGTTCAAAGGGCCAACGAAGTGTATAATAGTGAAACAATATTGTGCATCTACTTTAATGTCTAATGCCCACTTAATTGACAACGTACATTAGTGCTGGCTTCGCATAGTTTTCTACATTGAAAAAGTTTGATAAACCAAACTAATGATGGGACCTCTTAAGTTGAATCTGTTCGAACTTTTGGAAATAGATAGTAACTGTAATGAGTTTAAAGTCAAAGTATATTGTATAAAAAGAATAATGGAACATTTTAATTTTCACAACAGGTGCAGTAACATTGACCTGTCTGTAAACGAAAATACTGATTAAAAAACAACAACAAAAAAAAAACTTTAAAAAATATAATTTGATGACAACTTTACGTTGGCTTAGCTTTATAGACATTGGCTGCATGATATTACATAATTGTTTCACAGCGTTGTTACTGACTACAGTTATAATATAAAATTGCAGAAATTGATACAACAATGTCCCCATATCCCCATATTTTACACACATTTAGTATCGCGTATTTTTCAGACAAACGTACCCCGTAGTTTACAGACAAACTTGTCATCCTTGTCAGTTATATAGTTCTATATGTAAAAAAATGAGTGTTATTAACAGACATATATGCTATCAGATCATTAAATAAATGTCCTAGAGTAATAATATATGTTGCGGTCAGGATTGGAATATCCGTTCCGAGGGGACCCCCATAGGACGGATACGTACCGCAAACATATCAGATATTTTTCTTGCATATTCTACCATATTCTTTTATATTTTAAACTCTCTACCTTTGAGTTTTCCACGGAAATATGTGTTGTAACATCCGTAACTATTATCTTAAAAACAGCGTATGAAATAACAACTTCCATTCATAATGCAATTAAATCACCCATAGCATTGTACACGATTAATGGGGCTGTATTTGTTCAATTAGCATTTATTTCCTAATTGGATCAGAAATTGCCAGATACCAGAAAAATGTCTGCACGAATTCCAATATTATTAGCTTCACTACCATACAATGTCAAATGTAAAATCATTTTCTGGTTTTTATTTGGCATGATTTATTTCCGTTTTATTTATTTGTTAAGACTCACACAGTCTCATGCTTATATAAAGTGATTAAATTTTTGCCTGTTACGTTCAGGTTCACTGAGGTTGAATTTGGACCACAACGTTTAAAAGACTCGGATGTACATATTTGTTAAATTATTTTTTGGGTTTTCATTCAGTTTATAAAGTTACCATTGAAGTTAGTTACAGACTGATGTAAATATTTTACAGACAGTTGATATAATACAAGAACAAAGAATCGAAACATAACAAATGATGTACATAGTTTAAAATTAAATATTAATTATTATTATTATTATTATTATTATATCTTTTTTGTGTAAAGTATACATTTTGTGATTTAGTGTGAAGTTTTTCTTTGCTCAAAGCAGTTTATATCAAAAATGTTATATTTGTGCATTTTGCGTGTTATTTTATTATGATACATGTGTTATGGTATATTATATATATTTCTTAAATATGCAAAACAAAATGTGTTGTGAATCTTGACTGAAGCGTGATTTTTGTACAGGGAGCCTTCATTATACAGCAAATCTAACAGCGAGTACCTTAATCACAGTGAAATAAAAGCAATTTTTTACTATTTATTGTTAGTTTATATATGTAGTTAAAGTAAAACTAGGAGTTTTTTTTATAAGTAATTTAGTTTTTTTCCCACGAGGTTGTGAATAGAATAAGTCGACTTATATAGTACTTTTGCAAAAGAGGGACAAAGTTTACAGTGAATCTGGAAAAGTAAGAATTGAGCTAAACAACAATTTACAGGTACCAGAAGTTGTCTTTTAAGAGAAAAAGTTGACTTATCTAGTCGTCCTGCATAAAAAAATTCTCATAAAATACGACATTAATTAATGTATAAGCAGTAATGTTATTTTGTGATTTCCCATTAGAATTTTTATATCAGAATGGTGACGAAATTATTATGATGTAACTACAAAATGTGAAATTGTAATTCTTAGCACAAAACGGATTAGATTTGTTGCTTGATCATCTAAAAGTTGAACAGTTTTATTGTTCTGAAATATGGGACCGTGTCTTAACAGTTGTTGCGATTTATGAATGAGTATATAAGAGTGGTATTTCAGGGAGTGTAAAATTCTGGTACCTGTAAAATGTGAAATGTTTTCTCGTTTTATACTAACCTATTTACACCTTGTGTTTTTATATAAAAATGCTCATTGAAAGCCGTTTAATACGGTTTCTTCTGTTTTGAGGTCTCATTTTATTTGGTTTTGTTTTGTACATAAATATTTATTAAATATAGTTAGTTAGTCTTTTTCAATAAAATGATCATTATAATTTTGGGAAATCATTTTATATTCTACTTAAAA